TTAAGGGTCAATTTGACCCATTTCAGTTTTTGTGTTGATCAAAGTACTGGTTATCCTTTATTTTTCTTGCTGAAATTTTGTGACTTTTCCTCATCTAGGGTCATGAACTGGTGTGTAAAATCTGGACACTTTGATGTGTAGTGGAATGTCTGTGCAGAGTTTGTATACAAAGATGATGTTGCGGGTCATTTTGACCCAGACGCTTTAATGTGGGTAAATAGTTGTTCAGATCCAAAAAAACATGTCTCTTTGACATTGTATTTTGATTGCCTCTGAGACCCAGAGCCAGGTGTGTGAAGAGAGGGAACTTTCTCACACTTGTCCTTGTCACTGTTCTCATGTCATCTCTTTAGCGTACATCGGACTGGCAACTGAATATATCCGTGGCCTATGAGTTGATGCCCCGCACACATCTACAATGTGGCAAAAACGGGCAACTCCTAGCAGCAGACCAGTCTCGGGAATAACAGCGCGACAGCAACTGGCCTCAACTACAGTGTGTTTTTTTACATAAACTGTAGAGAGCGCGCAATACACGCAATACACACATGTTGTTGGAGCACACACATCGGTGATATCTCCGGATCTGAGGACAACTAGTTTCCGAAAAGTAGAACACGGGCAACTGACTGAAACTGGAGACCGACTGTTTATCTGCAGTTGTAAGAGCGCGCACATCGACCGATTTCGACAACTGATCATCTCCCATCATCTACTCTCAGTTGCCAAAAGCCGCCTTGCAACTAGTTATCCCCAGTTACTCTGTCGATGTGCGCTAGGCTTTAGACAAAACCAAAAATGAGCTCCAGAAGGATGATATCTGAGGAGGCTTTTTCACAGATTTTTAACTGGGATAATGATGTACAGGAAGAGATTTCAGAAACAGAGGATTTTTCAGAGACAGAGGACAATGTTCTTGCTGATCCAGATTGTCAATTTTCCTACGATAAGGAGGATTCAGAGGACGAATCTTTGGTCAAGGAAAGAGGAAGGGAGGAAGGAAGGAAGGAAGGAAGAGAAAAGAAGGGAATAGAGGATGAACAGACAGAAGGAAAAAAGGATGAGAAAAAGGAAGGAGAAAGCATGGCAGGAGGAAAGAAGGAGGGAAGAATTGTCATTTTGACCCGAGAGGAGGACAAGAAGATTAGACTAAATATTTCTTAAATATAGCGTTGGAATGAAAAATGTATCTTTTCTAAATATTTATATAACCTAAAATAAAGTTGTTATTGGTTTAACCTGTTTTCTTGACTGTTTTGAGTGCATTTACACAGTACGGGTCAAAATGACCCGCAACATAATCAATGTCATTTTTTTTCAACATAATACAAGGGTTAAAATCATCCATCTCTACACATATTTTTGTTGTTTTTTGTATGAATGTGAAAAAACCACAACAAAAACACAATAATTCTGCTTGTCCAATTGGTTTTAAAGCATTCAAAATGTGCACAAATTAAGATACATTTTGCCAAACTTGATTACTAATCAACTCTCTTTTTGGTGTCCTCCCCTCACTGACGATCTTTTCAACTGAATGCATATCACAAGTTTATGTGACAGTGACCGCAAGGAGGACAGGGAATACTCGGATGTAAATAGAAACAAGGCCAAAGGGCAAAGTGTCCGCGAGGGCATAAAGACAACAGATCACGAGGATATGAAAAAAAAATAAGTTGAAGATAAGTTGATGAGAGATATACAGGGCTACCAGCAACAAGAGAGCAGGATGTGTGAAGCTGAGCACACTAGACAGAAAGGACTTGGAAAAGAGATGCTTCCTCTGAGATTGTGTGCACAAATAACAAGCTAGTCTGACCGTTAGCGCTCTTAAGCATTCTGGAGGGATGAGAGCTGTGGGATGGGAGCAAGAGTGATGCGTTTTGGCTTCTGGGGAAAGCAAAGGGAGTGGACAAACTTTAATGAGAGAGAGCTACAAAGTGGATTGGCTTGCCAGTGTAAAAGTCTAAATATATGCAATGACTTCTTGTGATGTCCTTGGTTCGTCCTTTTAAAACTTGGACTGTATAGACTTTATTATACTTTATTATACAGGTCCATTAGCGCCATTACAATCATTAAAATATAATTACCTCCTCACCAGATCTTTGCCAAAAGTGGACGTTGGCTTCAAACTGTTCCAATCACATGTGAAAACAGCTCAAATCAGAATTGTATTTTGAGTTTCCATGTTTAGTCTTCTACTGGATTTGGGACATGACAACAGACACACAATTACAGTTTATCACAGTCGTATTCATAGCTGACATTTTTCTCCCATTAAAATCAACGTAATTCTGAAGAACTCCCCCAAAAATGTTTTGGTTTTGTCCCAGATTTGTTAGAATTAAATAATTTATATATTTTATTTACCTTTACTCACTTTTAATAGGTTCTAAAACTGGTGAATATAACTGAAATGCAGGAAAAACAGCAACCCCTGGGAAAGCCTGGTGCCACAGTGGGGCGGCTGCAGTGGTAAAGTACCAAACTGTTGTGTCCTTAGGCAAGACACTTCTGGGGCGGCACGGTGGCTGAGTGGATAGCACTCTCGCCTCTCAGCAAGAAGGTCCTGGGTTCGAATCCCGGTCGGACCAGGGCCTTTCTGAGTGGAGTTTGCATGTTCTCCCCGTGTCTGCGTAGGTTTCCTCTGGGTACTCCGGTTTCCCCTACCACTAAAAATATGTCCAATAGTTCTGGCATGCGCCTCCTGTACTGGCCCTGCTCCCATCTCTGTGTGGAGTGAGAGACAAATGCCCAAAAATTAACAATTGTAAACCACTTTGAGACTCAGATCTGCAGTGAAAAGGCGGTATATAAATAAAAACTTACTTACTTACTTTGCCTAGAATGAGTCTGGTGTGTGTGTGAATGTTTGGTGGCGATCGAAGGGGCCAATGGCACATACTGGTTGCCTCTCTTCTATCAGTGTGCCCCAGGGCAGCTGTGAAGTAATTTATCACCACTGGGTATGGAGTGAATGAATAATGACATGTGAAGCGTTTTTGAGTGTCTAAAAAGCTCAATATATAACCGATGCATTATTAGTAGTAGTAGTAGTAGTAGTAGTAGGAGTAAACAGTGGTCACAAAATCACAAAGTTTGGACGAGTAAAAAATGTACACATGCTGTACACACAAGTAATTTAAGCATCCAAAACTAAAAGCCATCAAATTGAGTTCTAGTTTAAACAATCCTTCACGCTACAGCTGTACTTTGCAGTGTGCTCCTTATATCTATAAAAGCATATGTAATGACAATATGAAGTGGTTGAAGCAGAGGGAAAATATTAGCAGGCGTTTTATCACCGATGAACTTAAAAATAGCAGCAGATTTAGTGCGGCTGTGTTGAATTGGTTTTATGGAGCAGGTTTTTCACGCTCGGCGCTCTCATGGTCGTCGTTACACAGCAGGCTAATAAAAAGACAATTGCTGTGGTGTATTTTAAAAGGGCCTCGACAGTGCGATTAACAAAGAGGAAATACATGCACGGCTCTCCTGGCAGCGCCTGGGTCAGCTTGGAGGAGTTGATTGTGATGTCCTTGTGAACGCTGATGCCATCGCTCTGAGGGCTAGTTAATATGACAGATACTAGGTGTCGGGAGAAAACAATTGGGAGGTTTGAAAGATGCTAAATATACAAAAGCATTTTTCCTGTAAAAGATTCTGTCTTGAGCTGTAAGTCAACTGATATCCAGTCTCAATAGACAGGCACATGCTTAAGATTAAGATTTATTTGTCCCACAGTGGGGAAATTTCAGTGTTGCATCTCCAGTTAAAGACAGTAGGAATGAGGAGCACACAGCAAAAGATAAGTGAACAATGACTCTATACTGAAATAGAATATGATCTCTAAGTTAAGCATAATAAATGAGAAAAAAATCTCTAGCTTCTAGAGTTCAAAATATGTTGTATAATAAAGAGGAGGCTAGAAGCCCCTTTTCCTTCATGGACAAGGGGGCCGACATGGCCGAAATTCACATGGGCTGTTTAAGAGATTTCCCCATAGACCTCAGTGTTAGCTGACAGTGCACATACAGCTTTATCAAAGGTCTGGTTTAATGTTTTTTCTTTTGAAATCCATAGATCCATCCATCCGTCCATTTTCTTCCCCTTAATCCATTTCTGGGTCGGGGGGTGGCAGTCAGAGATGCCATCCAAGTCACAGAGCACCAGCCCCTCACAGATTCTCCTGCAGATCCACTGGAGGATCTTTTAGCGGGGGGCTTCAGGCAAAGTGGGGTCTTGCCCAAGAACACAACGACAGCAGACATCAGTTGGAGTCATACATTTTCTTAAATCCACAATTTTGTGGACAAGCTCACATGTCCCTTTGTGCACAAGCAAATTTAAGCGTTAAACTTTAAAATTGGGACAAAGTTACTCTTTTTAAATAGTCTGTATTCGATAAAGTACAATGTGCTCAAAATCATAACAGCAGTTCTCTTTAAGGTTGTCAGTTGGCCAACATAGATCAGCAGAGAATCAAACAGTTTGAAAAAATGATATGCAATAATAACACATAGAAGCCATTGGGCTATTTATGGGAGCCGAAAATATTTAGGGACATGAATGCGCATATTCATATTCACAGGGACATATTCATTTATTTTTGATCAATATTTATTTTGTCTAATTATAACACGTCAAGCTCATTCACTGTTTTTGCATATGAGGCACTGATAACATGGACCTGTTGAAGAAAATATCATCTTGCAGTATTTAATGTTTTGATCTATTTTTCTGTTTTTTTCCACAACTTGCTCAAAGGCATCAAACATTAACGGGACAACTTTTGGTAAATGATTGACACTCCGACTTGGCAAAGCTCCAGACATTCTCTTTGTGCTCCATTTGAAATACATCCCGAGCACTTTGGAATTATAGAGAGGAACCATCTGCTCCGCACTGTTTCCCAGGTGTCTGGAATCGCAGCTTAATTTCCATTGATCACCTCGCTCAGCCTGTGACATTAGCTTTTATTATTCTTTACTCCTCAAATGCTGTGTGGATGTTTCTATAACAACAATGCATTTATTTTGTTTCCCTCTCCCCGCAGGACTCTGACGGAGTTGTTAAAGCAACCTGGAGAGGCGGGAGCGCTGGATGGAGGAGGGGTCCACCATCCGATTGGGACCAACGGCATCTCGGCTCGGGCCCTACGCTCCAACACCGGTCAGTCCTACAGACGCACACGCAAACACATTCTTGCATATATGTGTTGGCCTTGTGGGACGCTCTTTTTGTATTTAATTAAGATGTAATTAGCCCTGCTCCAGCCCTGCCCCACCGAGGGAGCACTGTGGCCCATCTGTCTTCTCACACACACTTACAGAACTCCCAATATAACTCTGTGTCCTCCCAGGGCTCGGGCGCATTACTCCCCTCATTTGTAACAGCACCAAATCCATTTCTCAAGGATAAAAGAAAAGGCTTTTTAGTTGAAGTGGGTCTTTTTGTGCAGTTTAAGCAACAGCTCAAGAGATGGAAACCGACAGCTGTGCGTTATAAAGCATCTTTATGGATGGCGAGTTGTGTCAGCAGTAAAGAAATATTTGCAATTTTTTTTGCATATGCAGCAGTGTATGGCGGCCTTGGAATCGAGAAGCTAATGACACTGTTCCATTTGAGTACATAGTAAAGACATGACGCTTTGTTTGAACCCTTTTTCATTTTTATTGATTTCTTTCATGAAAATGCTGTTGTACTTATCAGTTTCAAAACATACATAATATACATACATTATACATTTGCAGGATACATTTCCATGATTGTAAAAAAGCAGAAAGAAAGAAAAAAATGCTTATGACTTCTTTTGATCAGAGGTGTAAAACTAATTTTGGTTAGGGGCTAGAAAAAAAGAAGGTACTGGTCGGGTCTGCGTAAAATGCTGTCCTTTTCTTATAATTCTTTGTTACATTATGAAGACATTTTATGTGACGTCTATTTTCTGGTGAAGTATTCTGAAAACTAACCAAACCAAATATAGTTCAACACATCTATACTTTTACACATATAACATAATTATATTTAGCTATTTAACTTGTTTGGGTAAAAATTTAGAATTGACTAAATGTGGTTGTTTTCCTGAGAAAACAACCACATGATGTATTGATGATGTAAAAACATGCCATGGTAGCTCATAACCACCAATGCTGAAAGTTAAAGTGATTGTCTGGAGTTTGTCAGAAAAAAGAGAGAGAGGTACATGATTTGAAAAAAACGACCCAAGCTCCCTCCCTCCCCTTTCTGATTGGTCAATGCGTACGTTTCCGCAACAATCCATCCATCCATCCATCCATTTTCTTCCCCTTAATCCATTTCTGGGTCGGGACACATTTAAACGTTAATTAGAAAACACATTATACATATACATTATTAATACACATGCACGGAGCTTTTCAGAATTATTTGTTAACGTTTTCATGACAAAAATAATGTTTTAATGCACAAAAAAAGCGATCGTGGTAAACCCGGAAGTAGCTATTATCATTAACTGAACGTTATATGACACATCTGGAGAGGATCTGATTATGGATATAGGTTCAGTATATGAATGGGAAACTCAGCGCGGATGTTCAGAATTCTCTGTTCAGTTTTCATGTAGTTGCAGAAGTTAGTGGAGGCTTGATTCGGAGCCTCCGTGCAAACGAACAACTGAGCATGTGCGCAGCTACGAGCATAAGCGCCGATGATTGACAGCCCTTGGCATCACTTGATTGGTTAAACTGGACGGCATCGTGGATTTTGAGCTGTAGCTAAGAGAAGGGAAGAATTGAAAATCATTTTAGGGGGCAATAAAAATGGTCTTTTGGGCCGGATTTGGCCCACGAGCCTGAGTTTGATATGCCTGCTTTAGATAGATAGATATATAGATAGATAGATAGATAGATAGAACAAACAATAGTGCAGATCTGCTATATACCCAAAGGAACAAAGAATCTCTTAAAACGTTGGTGAAGACTGGGCCAATTGATTCTGGCATCAGTCATAATGAAAACCATTCTATTTGTTAGGCTAGGGCAGGTTAGCAATAATAAACTCCTCAGTGAGAACAATGTAGATGTAGTAAGATTGTGGTGATACCATGTTCATCATCTCAACAGGAAAAAAAAAGTCTATTAATTTAAACATAATAATTTGATATGAAGTGTGCTTCACCTGTGTGGAGTTTGCATGGTTGGGTTCCCTTCTGGTACTCTACACTGTTGCAACCACTACCCCTGACAGGTTTCCCTAGCATTGCACAATGGGTCAAAGGCTCAGGATATAGTGTACAGGGCGGCACGGTGGCTGAGTGGATAGCACTCTCGCCTCTCAGCAAGAAGGTCCTGGGTTCGAATCCCGGTCGGACCAGGGCCTTTCTGAGTGGAGTTTCCATGTTCTCCCCGTGTCTGCGTAGGTTTCCTCCGGGTACTCCGGTTTCCCCTACCACTAAAAATATGTACAATAGTTCTGGCCTGCGCTTCCTGTACTGGCGACCCCGCTCCCATCTCTGTGTGGAGTAAGAAAAAATTAAAAATTAACAATTGTAAACCGCTTTGAGACTCAGATGTGCAGTGAAAAGGCGGTATATAAATAAAAACGTACTTACTTACTTACAGTGTTTATGCTGCTTATGCAATTTTCCTATCTGGTTCAGAATTTATTGCATTGACAAGGACCATTGACCACTTATTTTTGTGGTTTTACTTATAGACCTTATCTATTTGTATACAATTTGAGCCTTATCAAATATTGCATCATCAGTTGGGGCATTTTTTAGTCTAGTTCCCCCTGTCCTTGGTATGTGGTTTAAATGTAGTACATAATATGCAATGCTTGATAAACAACAACTAAATCGCAAGCAATAAATGATCAACAATAATGCAGCTCAAATGTCATTGTTCTCAAATGTGGCCATACCTGCCTGTAAAAGCCAAGCTAAGCAGGGCAGGGCCTATATATAAAACCGGTGCATTAGTATTGTTAGTAAATTAAAAATAACAGTTATGGGTTTACAACGTAAATAATAATGACTCGATCAAGAAAAAGTAGCATGTCTTGGCTGAGAAGAATATTTAAACTGCAGTTACCCACCCAAATTGTCCACAGAGCTCCCCCATATTAATAAACATGACTCTCTGAGGAGGTTATTTGGACAAACATGAAAGCGGCGAGAATCTTTCACATATGCAGCGTTTCATACATAAATGATGACATTCTTGAGTTTTAGTTCATCTCTCACACTGTTACCACGGCCATGCTGGCTTAAACAAAAGGAAATGCTTTTATCCTCCTGCATTACATTAACAATACGTGTCCTGTTCCTCACCCCAAACCGCTCTTATGAGCTTTGTAAGTCTTCAAACTAATGCAATTTGTGTTCAGCTAGTTTCAAGGCTTTTTTCATCTATTTCTCTTTCTGTTCTGAATAAAGATATTAGAGTTAAGATGGTACCGGGACTGGGATAAGGACTATATGGGTAATTTAATCCTTGTGGATTAAACAAAGTACAGTAATTGAGGAAATGAGAAGCTTCCTAGTGTACAGTATTTGACCTATTAATTAAGTATGGCCGCTCTTTACTGGGTGACTAAGTATGAGAAGAATTAAAGCCGCAAGTGGCGTGGAACGGCCCTCACCGTACCGCGCAAAGGAGGGGACGCCACCATGCCATGATTTGCTCCCGTAGCTATAGAACAATGTTTGTGAAATTGTAATTAATATGATCAGTTGGTTTGGCTCCCCATGTGAAAATTTGGCTCTGTCTGTAGGGGGCGATCTGGGAGTGTGTCCATATGTATACAGTCCATTGGATGACCATGTGACTAATCCAAATTTTTCAAACAACTATTGTGTTGAGATGATATGGAGTGATTTTCAGCCTAATCGGTGAAACGGTCGAAGCTGGTTTGATGTTTGTGCGAGGTATGCATTTGCCATTGATACAGAATGGAGAGCTTTTGACGTCGCCACGGCAACAGGGTAAAAAAGAAGTCTTGGGTGTCTTGATTTTTTGAATCAAGAGTGCAAAATAGAGTTATGTGCAAAATTTCAAACATTTTGAAAAAATAAATGTGATTAACCCCATGTAAAAAATTGACATAGTCTGTAGGGGGCACTAATGAGCCAATTTGAATTATAACTTTCTAATGACCTAGACCCTAGAGTTGAACAACTGATTATAGTCAAAAATGGCAGGAAAAAGGTCACATTTTGTCACTCTGCTGCTCAAACAACGTGTAACTGATCAAAATTCTGTGAAGTCATTTTCATGGTACATCACAGTCGCTTTTCAACCGACATGATCAATTTTCATTTTTCCATTTTGCAATTAAATGTATGGGCTTCCTGTTTGTCAGGGGGTGTGGCCATAAAAAAAAAAAAAAAAATCGTGTCTTGACTTGAGGAACACCCTCTCCCATAGGCACAATGTAAACTGACTTTTGTAGGGTGTGCTGTTGCGGCATTTTTTGTTGTCCTATAAAATGAATCCCAAAAACAAACATTTTTTGCCAGTTCTGATTTTTTAGCATAATTTGGCACATTTTCATGCATGTGCAGGGGGTCAAACTAAGCCTCAAAGTGCAGAAGAAAAAAGAAAGAAATAACAAGATTTTTTTCCTGACATCTCTCGAGCAAAAACAATATAGGTTTCAATGGCACATGATACATCATTTTAAAGCGTTTTAGTTTACGCACGCAATCGTCACGTTGTGGTGAGTGACGGGCACTGACACATCTGTCACACATCGCTACCCCTTGCACACTCCATTGTGAAAGCAATAGGCCTATTAAGGGAACTTTTTTTTGTCCCACAGAGGGGACAATTCAATGCTGCAGCACATGCAGGACAGTTGAAAGAGCAGACAGGGAGAACACAAAACATATTATAAAATGCAGCTTTCCCATAGTCACAGTACGGCACGACACGGCACGGCTAAGTTAAGAATCAAGATTCAAGATTCATTTATTATGTCCCGTAGGAAATTTGTCTTGGACTCCCAGGCTGCTACATTGAAAATACACATAAGACAGACATTAAACACAACACAGTAACACCGACATAAACCATCACCGCTCTGCTCGATGGCCTGCATTCAGGAGGTTCACAGATATGGGTAGGAATGAGTTCTTATACCGGTTTAGATATTGTTTCTTATTTCTAGTGGGTACTCTTTCTCTGCTCTAGTCCAAAGTAAAATGCTAAATGCTTCATTAGCATTTTTCAAAAAGTCAGCATTCCTCCAGTGGATTTTCCCCTGATCCGCTTGGTTTGGACCATAAATCCTCTCCGCTCCGGTCTGGACCAGTGCAAAACCATGAACACTGTACTGCAGCAACCTCTCAGGCAGAAAAAAGCAAGTAAAAGAAAAATTGATAAAGCACAAAACAACAACTGTTTTAGAGCTACTTAGGAGCTAACCAGTCATTTCCAGGATTACCACAGACTAGTCACGAATCAAGAGCTGGGCAATCTCCCAGCCGGAAAACCTTTGCATTCCGTGTTGTGTGTTCGAGCTGCCTTTGAATTTTTTGTTTGGCCTAAAGAGAGTAACGTGTGGACCTCGTCGACCGACCAGGACGCTGACTTTTTGGGCTTTCTGTGCGATTAAATTTTTCTGGAGGGAGGAGGACGTATTATAGCCCTAATATAGATCCATAGTTATAGCAGAGCCGGTTTTAAAGATGGCGGGGTTGAGTTGTTTTTACCATAGGGTCGGACGTCGCTTCCAGTGACGACACTCGTTGGCAAATCAGAGTAAGGCAGTCGGCTGACGTCACGTTATGGTATCGCTTCGGCCCTCTTGGAACCACTGACGAGGTGGCATGAAAAAGTACCCTTATCCCAAGTCCAACCCTAGTGGAAATGCAAAATAACCACGCCGTGCCGTGCCGTACCGTTACTGTGGAAATGCGAAATAAGTAACTGCTATATTTCTTAGCTAGCTTTAAATGCTTCAATATCAATTTTTCTATATATATATCTCTATACAGTGTAAAGTTATATACATATATACACACTAGAACCTCCCTGCTGTTGGACTCTTGAACACTTCTTAATCTGTCCCCCCGCCCGTTATAAAGTCACTTTACTGCCCATCATACGTCACTTTACTTCACTGTACTACTGTCACCTTACATTGTGTGTACCATGTGCACTTGTATATTGTAAATAGTAACTGTAACTCTATTTTAAATTTATTCCTTAGAAGTGTTTTTTATTCTTTATTTTTATTCTTTAGTTTTATTATCTCTTTCTGACTGTTGCACTGAGCCAAAGCAATTTCCAAGTCTGTGACTTCCTGTTACTTACGTGGCAATAAAAATGATTCTGATTCTGATATAGGGCAGGATAATAAGTGGATAAAGTGACATCCAGTGGACATTCTGAAGTGGCAGTATTGCACTTTGCACATGATTTCAGTATTTATTATTTACAGATGAATTACATGTGAATGTGGCAGGTTGGTGTAGGCTGCCTTTTAAGATGGATTGTGGGTGGCACCGACGTAGCGTTGAAAGCCGGTTACGCGCACGGCGCGCGCTCATACACACACCAGCTTGAGTGGGCATTGTGGTGGCGGCGTGCTGTGGCCTCCCGCAACACCTGGTTCGGGCCTTTACTTTCCGAGCCCTGCGCTTCTACGCATTATCATCCAGGTTAGTTTTAACAAGCCTCTTCTGGTGCACGCTGTGTGCCAGCCTGTCTTAATGTTGGTGGTCTTAGGTCCAGGACTACGGTCTGGCCTGGCGCGCGTGGTCTCCCTCCTTCTCCTTGGGAGTGCGTGCGTGGTGCAAGCGTCGTGCGCTCCAGGCCCTTCTCTGGGTAAGTGCGTCCATTGTCTCGCTGAATTTTGGGCTTGGCCCGGGCTGACATCAAAATTTCCTTAGGTCTGGGGCTGTTGTGGGACTTTGCCGTGATTCCCCCACGTCTCTCCCCCTCCTCCTGCTGCCTGCGGGTGCGCGCACTGTCACCGGCAGGTAAGAGGTCCAAAGCTTTACCACTGCAGGGCTAATCCTTAGTTGGTAGTTTACGCTCGTGTTTTTCTTTCTAGGCACGAGGCGCACAGCGTGCGTGGCCCACGTTGGAGCCGCCACCTCCTGTTAAAGGAGGCCGTTGTTTTGTCCCTCTGTGTTGTCCACATTCTCTCGTGCGTAAAAGCGCTCCAGTCCCATTCCGCACCCCTGGGCTGCTTCAGCGCGTGCTTAGTGCGTGCATAGGTGGGGGTGGACTCGCACCGAACAATTTAACATTGTTTTTTTGTAGGCAAAGACTACAAGGAATCAGGGTAGTTTGTCCGCATGTCTGCTCCTGCATGCTTGTTTGTTTTTGTCGCTTGCACGTTATTTTCCTTTGCCTGTTTTCTGTGTGTATTTACCTTATTGTGCATGATTTGCTGTGTCTTATTTTATTTTTGCTTCTGTTGTGATGTTTGCCTATTTTCACAAGCTATTTGATTTATGTTTATTTAAAGGTGCTGTCCCCCACTACTCAAGTAGCACTGTGTACATTGTTTATTGTTAAAGGTGTACTGTGTACTGTGTTTAAATTGTTGTTTACCATTTTAAAATAATATTAGGCCTATTTCAATTTCTGTATTTATTAAATAAAACTTATCTTTGTAATAAAAATTCACCTCCTTTATTGTCCTAACCTAGTGCGGCCTTCTGAAAGCAAAAAGATTAAATCAAAACCGTCCGGTCCCAGGGCCATTACCCTGGGTGGCGTTGCTGAATTTTCATTGTTCTACCACGGCTCCCGCCACATAAGGATTCAGCAGTTCTAGTTGTACAGTTTGACAGCAGCAGTAAGGAAAGACCTAGAACAGGGATGTCAAAGTCAAATACATCAGAAGGCCAAAAACCCTAATTTTCTACATGCCGAGGGGCCAGACAGGTTAAATATTTATCAAAACATATTAAAATGATCATGTTTTATTTAATGATTAAATGGCTCACTGAGATTTTTCAACGAGAAAAAACATGTCCTGAACTCTAAATGAATAATCCAATTTATTATGGCTTTTTGCGGGCCGGTTCTAATATCATACTGTGGGCCAAGATAATTCACAATTGACTTTGGCACCCGTGACCTAAAACAAATGGTCTAGATCAGAGGTGTCTAACTCATTGGTCAGGGGCTGAAAGCATAGAAGTAATTTCCTTTTCTTATAATTGTTTGTTACATAAAGCAGGTATTTTATGTGACATGAGTTTCACTTTTTTTCTTGTGAATTATTCAGAAAACAAAATATATTTATAGTTTTGGATTAACAAATGTAAAGTTAAACACAAAAATGTTGCTAACCCTATCTGGCCCTATTCCTAATCAGACCTTTATGGATTCTGAAAATGGTATTATATAAAAACGATGTATACTAACTCAGAATGTGGAGATACTATTTATAGAGCAAACAGTAAAGGTGAGTCATTTGTGATGTCAGAAGAAAATAGTACAAAATGTCTTGTTTACTGCTTGAAATATGAAGTGAGTTGCCATTTGCCCGATGTTAGGCAGTAATTACAGGCTTGGTAAATTATCTTTTACTCATACTTTAACTATTAGTATTCATTCAAATACCAGAAGTTTGTATGATATTGTAAATTGTACTATAAATCTGCAGTTTGTGAAGACAAGGTAGGGAACTGTTGAAGTAAAAATTGAGAGTGAAATGATTGATTTATTTTAATAATGTGTATTAGCTTTTACAGAAAGTACAGACACAAATCCCTGTAATGCATCCATTCACACATAGATAAATTAAATGAAAATAAATCATAAATCTGTATAAATAGAATGCAAGTAAAAACTACACACGAGAGAGACTCAGAATGTGTTTGAAAATGTTGCATTTCCACAATGAACACATTTTTACAATCATTTAAACCCAGTTAACATGTCTTTTGTACTGAGTCGTTGTAGTTCTCCAAAATAATGTAACATTTTCACCTTCAGAAATGTATAAACAGAATAAAACGCCAATTTGGGATAAAGATGCCAGAAACATCTTACACCCACTTCAGTGTAACAAAAGGCTACAACAGGCTACACACACTTGAAATGGCTTCTTTGTTTCTATATTAAGCTAAAGATAGAGGTTGTAATTTTCATAATGTTGATAAATATTGACTTAAAAAGTGTTGTGTGCACCTCATTCCTCTACTGCTCTGGGCGGAACAGTGGCGCAGAGGTTAGCACTTCATGAGTTCGATTCCACCTTCAGGCCTTTCTGTACGGAGTTTGCCTGTTCTCCCCGTGTCTGTGTATGTTTTCTCCGGATCCTTAATGCAATGAGATGAGTGAACGGATAATGCGCTACTGTGTTCAGCGTCTCGCTTCTGTCATCACTTTGGGTGGAGAGAATGGAAATTGTCTGCTCTGTAAAATTCACTATATAAATAAAGATATACTTACTTACTTACAACTGTAACTTGTGGATATACTTCAGTCCTTTGAAGGTGCAGGGCAGGGCCTAGTTAATACGGTGATGGGATACCTATGGGAACACCAGGTACCACAGTGTGGTGGCTGCAGCCAGCTGTAGAGTGCCAAATTGTCATTGTGTCCCTAGACACTTCACCCACATTGCCTAGAATAAGTCTGGTGTGTGCGAGAATGGCTGGTGGTGGTCGGAAAATACCACCCCAGGCCGATGGGGGTGGACCCGGAATAAGAATTAACATATATCATTGGCAGACCTCTCGAAAACGTCTTTACAGGATGGTCCAAAAGTTGGTTCTTGGCCCAAAGCTCCGTTCCACATGTGTGTAAATGCTGAGGGGGTGAATTTTTTTGGTCCACTCTACTTTACTCGCTGTGAATTTTTGAAGTCTCTCGTTCAAATGAATGGAGCTCTCGCCGGCTGACGCATGCTCAGGTGCGTTTTTTCACAATTTTCTTGTGGGCGGGACCACTCGCGGCCATTTTGGATAGCTTCAGTAGAGCACTATTTTTGGCCCATTAGTTAGAACGGCGGAGATAGGCGTGACTCTGTCCGTTAATATATACAGTCTATGTGTGGGACGAATAAATCTTATCTCTTAATCTTAACTTAACATTCAGCTCTGGAAAATGTCCTTGGGGTTTTGGAGTTACCCATATATGGCATGTAGTAGTTCTTTAGTCCCATTTACGGCTGCATAACTGAGGAGGTATGAGAGTAGATCCGTCTCTGACACTTCACCTTCACTCTCACTGATTATCTCTGGTCCACTGCACGGATCCTCATTTCTTTCTTCTGACGTCTCTCCATTAAAGCGTTGCGTCTTAACCTCGGCTAATCCCGTGCTCCGCTCTCACATTAGCGGCTCCTCTGACTGTGATTTTTGTTCTTCCTTGTTCTCTCGTCTTCTCCTGACCCCCAGCCTCTCTCTGTGTCATGTCTTTCTTCTCTCAGCTCCCAGTCGCTGTTGTATAAGCTCCACTTGACTCCCTCTCTGGTCCGCTGTGACCTCGAGTCGCACCTCAGCTCGCTCAACGCTTGAATGTGAACTTGGTGCAAGATGGGAAATTAGAACAAGGGTTTTGATGTAAAGACAGTATCTTTGTAAGAGCAGTTAATAACAATGCAACATTTAAAAAATATATCTGTAAAGAACTTCTGTATCTCTGTCACTGCTATTTTTCTTTTGTTGCTTAACAAATTACAGGTTATGTAGGAGTCAGGAGTCACTTCCAGCAAAGCGACATCATGCTTTATCTATCGAAGGAAGTACGTGTCATACTTTAATTTTTAACACATATCACATAAAAATACAACTATAATTTCACAAGACATTAAAACAAACATTCAGATCACAAGAAATATTAAAAAATATAAACGATGTAAGTAATTAAAAACATTAAAATCACATATAGGATGAAAATTATTTACTTTTAGGCACCACCAACAGGGTCTTTATGAGTGGAGTTTGTGTGTTCTCCCCGTGGTTTCCAATACCTCTATAAAACTATAGAACCTATAAACTCTGGGGCCAGGACTCCCCTGAAAAAGAAATTTTAAAATCTCAGCAGGACTTTACTGATTAAATAAAGTCCTGTGTCCATCCATCCATTCATTTTCTTCCCCTTAATCCATTTGATTGACAGCCCTTGGCATGACTTGATTGGTTAACGTGGACGGCATCGTGGATTCTGAACTATAGCTAAGAGAAGGGAAGGCGGGACTTGCCCGTAATATGAATAAATGACTTATTTTATATCAACATTTAAGGCCACGAGGTCAATTTAACACATTTCCTGAAATTTGTAATTCATTTAGAGTTACAGAATATCACTTTAAGAATAATCATGCTCATTTCCTTAAAAGTTTGACCTCAATATAACTACAAACCAGACCGAAGCTGAAAAAGCTGTCAAAAATGTCTTGTATTTTTCAGCTATGTAGTTTTGAGAAATACTGAGGCATTAAAAAATTTAATAAATTTCCCTGCCTCTTTATGCAATCTCATCACAAACGTCATCACCTCAAAGACCTGGCAGACATCACTCACAGCAGAATATCTCACAAGCAGCTGAGAGATGCCGAATCATCTGCACATTACACACTACAGAGAAAGTGAGAGGACGTGTGCTGCTGGTACAAAACGATATTCAGTTAAAAATGTGTCTCTAATGCAGGATAATATTACTCAAACATGCATGGACCACTCTGAATCAGCTTCAATGAGAAATTAGAACCATCCAGCAAAGCTATAAAAGGAGGATTATGGGGTCTTTTTGAAGTAATATCCAAAACTTGGCAATGCCAACATTTAAGCCTGTATCTACAGTGCCTCTCAAAGGTACTATTACAGCTTTGACTTTTGCACATTATGTCATGTTTACGATCATAAACATCAATATTTTATTTTGGATTTGTTTAACTGAACGTTCACAAACAAGCAACAGACGATTGTGAATAGAAAGCAAATGTATACGTGATTCTGTTATTAATTTACTTTTTTTTTATATAGAAAAGTGAAAAGTTGGGTGTCTTGCCTGATACTTGTGTGTGAACAATCTTTAAGGTTATGGCTGTAAACATAACAAAATATACAAAAGTTCAAGCTGTATTAATACTTTTGAGAGCCACTGTATACGTATGTGTGTCTATATTCAAAACATGC